GTAGTGAGGACAAGGACATGTTTGCAGACTTGTGCTGAGTTTCACTCTGGGAGTTGGCTGCTGCTTTCCCAGACAACACATGCTCGCTGTGGGCTGGGATGGATTTAGTTGCAGCAGCTGCCTGGAGATTCTCACAGTTCCCTGCTGCTGGAGTTCTATCCCATTCCTGTCCTGCACCCAGCCAGCACAGCCTGCAGTGCCTGGATGCTCTGATGTTGTAAATAAAATGTGCAGGCTGAGCCAGTGTCTGAGAAATCCAACCCAGCCCAGGCACGTCAGGCACCAACCAAAGCCACTTCCAGCTACGTGAAGAAAAACTGGGTTTAACCTCAGCAACAAGTGCTAAGAAATAAACAAACCCCAAGCTTTTCACTGTTCCTCGTTTTTCAAGAAACTTTTTTATTCTTTGAGTTTTTCTCTCCTAAGCTCCCAGCATAGAGAGCTGAAGAACTCAACCATTCCCTTACCTGAGAAGAGCCAGGAACTGCTCCCGACTGCACGGAGACCAGGTGAGGTCGATGCTGTTGTGGTTTCCTGCTGAGCCCATGATGTAACCACTGCTGCTGCACACATTCCCCTCTCCATCGTGGGCAATGCCAAGGCTGTAAAGAAGCAGCACAGAGCCCTGAGAAGAGGAAACCCAGAGGCTGGAGCCTCCCTTCTCTAAGCAAGGACTGAGCTCCCTCTGCAGCCCTTCCTTCTTCTGTTGTCACAAAGAGTTTCTCTCCTCTTTGCAGCTTCTAATTGTCACAGGACATGCAGGAATGCAAGAAATGCAAGGAACTCTTTCCAAAATAATCCATGATGATGACCACAAGGGTTAGAATAATCCATGGGGAATTCCCTTTTATGTCAAGAGGTCCTTTGGCTTCTTTCCTTAAACTAGAGGATGTTTTTACCTGAATAAAACCTGCTGGGCTGCTCTGGCAGTTTCCTACTGACCTGTGCCCAATCTCATGGGCTATGGTGACTCCAAGGTCAAAGCCAGTGTCCTGGGTAATGACACAGCTCCAGAAGGAGGAGCAGACTCCCCCTAACTGAGTCACTCCACGAAGCTCCTTGTTCCCATCAGGCAACTCCAGGTCAAACCTAAAGAGGAAAAAGGAAAGAACCCCCCACAGCTAAAAAAGCCAGGTCTAGACATCCAGCTGAATTTATCTGAGCCTTGCCAGCTATCTAACATTTCTTTTGACACAAAGACATTTTGACATTTCTTTTGAGCCCACTGCTCAAATTTTATGATGATTCCACATTAAAAAATCCAAACATCCTCAGACGAGCAGAACTGAATAAAACAACCTAATCCTATTTCCCAGTCCCTCCCAGGGCAGGGAGCTCAGCACCTGGTGATGTAGAGGACAATGTCAGCGTGCTGGGGGTCAGAGTCGTTCTGGGGGTTCACCTTCTTGCTCCACTCACAGACACTGATGAGGGAGGAGGTGATGTTGGTGGTGATGTTCACCTCTGCCTGCAGGGAAGGCACACGTTGGCACGTTCCAAACAGCCTGGGGCTCGGGCAAGCCTCAAACACAGCCCTCCCCTTACCTCTGGCTCTCTCAAAACCAGCATCTGCATGAGGTGAACTCTGAAATGAGCCCCCAGTGAGGCATCTCTGAGCAGCTCTGCTCCCTGAGAAGAGACAGAAAGGATTCAATAAACAAGGGGCGTTGGGGACTCCCACTCCCTGTTCCCAAAAACTGGGCTGCACTCATTACAAAGGTATCTACAACACTAACATATGCACTACAAATGTGAATAAATCTGTCAGGAGTTGAGAAGTGGTTGGATCTGTCAGATACTCTGAAACGGAGAGAAGAATCTGCATGAAAAGTTTCATAGGGTAGAGTGAATGCTACAGGCTTTTCTGCAGTACACACACAGAAAAATTCTTAATAATAGCAAAAAGAGAAATGAAAATTCTGCAATAGAAATAAAACAGTGAAATGTAAAATATAAGACTGATTCAGCAGATTTAGCTCAATCCCACTGAAAGCAACAGGGTGAGAAAACTCTACCTGTGTTGTAACATGAGTAAGAAAATGAAGAGCTACATTTTCTCTGTGGGTTTTAAATCCTCTAAGATCTTCTTTTACTCCTTGTACAAGGGAATTTGGGGGATTTCATGCTCAGGGAAGCACAGAGGAATGCCCTGCACATGTGCTCTGTACCAGGGACAGGTGACCCCAACCACCCTGAGGTCCTGCCTGGGGCAGAGGACCCCAAGCCCAGAGGCACTCACAATGTTCAGGTTGGCCAGGACGTAACGCTCCGTGTCCTCTTTGTGGTACAAGTAAACATCTGGCCCTGCCACCACCATCAGCTCCAGGTGTTTGACAGCTGCCTCAGCCCTCTTGTGCAGGCGAGGAGGAGCCCACCCTGCTGGACAGCACAGAGGGACACCAGGAGGTTCAAATGCACCATAAAAGGTCCTACAGATCCACTCCCTCTCCCCAAAGGCTGCAATAACTCAGCTGCAAGTCCACTCCTCCTTGCTTTCCCACTTCTGGTGGTGTCTTTCACCTGGCAGCAGCTTTAGCAGCACACCTGTGCTATCAAAATAGCAACCAGCCACATCAGACATGCTGGGCACACCTCAGCGAGGTGAGGAACCTTTTCAGGTCCACTCCTCTATCTGTAAACACCAATTTTTCCTCTGAGCTCATGGAAGCAATGCTCCAGGAGACAGCTTTTCCAGCAGGGCTGTTACCTCTGGCTGGTTTTGCCTCTCCTGCAGCACTTTTGAAGAGGATGTGGGGGCTGGAGAAGCCGAGGTCCTTCAGCAGAGCCACATCTTTGCTCCTGACTGGCCTGATGTGAATCTTCTCCTCGCCCACGGTGACCACTCCTTGCTGAAGCAGATAAAATTCCACCTCTGAGTTACTCCAAAGATGTTTGCTATCCATGGGGATGGCAAGGGTTTATTCAGTGGGTGGTTCACACAGTTTGGTGCAGGAAGCTGCCACCCCAGAGGCTGCTCCTGCTCATACTCACCAGCTGCCCTTCACAGTAAGTGACTCTGCTCCTGGCCCCAGGAGGCTGCAAGGATTTTCCACCTGCAAAGCAGCTCCCTGGGAATCTCTTCAGTAAAACAAAGGAAGAGTTCACCACCTGGCTGCTCACAAAGGAGGAGGACAGGAGGGCATGGTCCTCGAGGAATTCAAAGGCATAGAGCTGCCCCCAGGCCTGGATGGAGCAGTGCTGGACCCGACAGGGCCTCAGCCCAAAATGTTCTTCTTGACAAGGGCAAGCTGGCTCAGCCACAACAAACTCAGGTACTGAAAGAAATGAAACAAGACCAGAACAAGGGGAGCAGTTATGAGAAAGGCTGATACACAAAAACCCAATGTAAGGCCTATTTCCCAGGAAAAATTCCCTACAAAGGACAACTGTGGCACCTTGGGGTCATGGTGCCAACAGCCAGAGAATTTCTGTGCTTTTGTGCATTCCAAAGTGAGGATAATCTGACTGGGAACACACAACAGAAACTGGCACCGAATTTATTACAGCTTTTGCTCTCCCAATAAGGAAAACAGTCCATCTAAAAAAGGCTGAGACAGTTTTGTTCCTGCAGATTTTAATTATTACTGAGTGGGAATTATCACAATGCAGACAAAGACACTGGGATGAGCACTAGGTGAACTCACAAGGAAACAACACCCTTCCTTTAGGGTTTTGAGGCTTCAAAACAGCTTTATTCTGAGTTATCATCAGTCCAGACCCAGAATTCAAATCTCTTTGTGCATTTATTAATCATAATAATTAACAAGTATTTAAAGTAACCCTTAGTCTAAAGCTTTTATCAGAAGAAAACCACCAATACAGAGAATGGGGACTGAGCAGAAATGTGCAAAGAGGTTGAGCACATTTCCTTGAGCAGATCTGAAGCTCTGACACATCCTTCCATCCACTCACACTGAAACCACATTGTCTCGCTTGCACTGGGACTCAGAAACACCAAATGCTGGTCATTTCAGGGGCTGTTAATCAGGGGCTGTTAATCAGGGGCTGTTAATCAGTGTTCTCTGCCCTGTCAGCCACACAGGGCGAGAAAGCAGCGGCCAGGTGTGCTCTGAACCGAGGGACACTGAGCCCTGCGTACCATCAGCCACTGAGCTGGTTCCAAAGTAAGACAGAACATCTCCCGCATCCAAAGCGCCCAGGAATTTCTGCAAGAAGAAGAAGAAGAAGAAGAAGAGCAAAACCAAATGGACAGGAGGCTCTCCCTTCGCTGGAGCCGAGCTGGAAGGAACGCCAGCCAGCAGCCCAGCCGCCCCAGCGCCAAACCCTCACGGCTTCGCCCCGCCGGGCTGCACGAGGGAGAGAACAGATTATCTTCCTGATTAGCGACCTCGGACGGAGTTTGGCTTAGAACCGCGTCGTCTCCTCTTCTTTTTCTTTTTTAAATTTTTTTTTTAGCTTTTCTTAGAAGGCCGGCAGCGTTCCTGGAAGGGCCGGTGCGAGGTCAGACTCACCTCAGGGAGCCAGCACAGCCCCAGCGGGAGCACGGCGAGCGCCCGCAGCGCCAAGCTGACGGTCATGCCGGACGAGCCGAGCTCTCCGAGCCGAGCACCGAGAGCTTTCGGCCCAAAGCATCACGTGGAGCGGAAGGGAAGAGCAAAAGCAGCCTTTGAGCAAACAGCCTCTGAGCAAACACGCTCCGAGCGGGCCCGAGGGGGACGCGGCCGCGCCGGCAGCTGGAGCGCGGCCGCCCTTGCGCAATGGCCGCGGCTTCTCCAGCTTGTGCGCCAGCCCCGCGGGCCAAGGGGCGGCTCGGGGGCCGTGTGGCCCTGGGGACACACCCGTGTGGGGTGCGGGTCCCCCCGCGACCCCCAGGCCCGGAACCATGGAACCGCCCCCTCCACCCCGGAACCCAAGCGCGGGCCGGCGTGCCCCGCCGGGGCGGTGCGGCGCTGTGCCGGTCCCCCTGCAGTAGCGCCGGCCCGGTTGGGACTCGCTGCCCCCTGATCCCGGTCCCGATCCCGGTCTTGATCCCGGTCCCACCCCGCTGACCCCCGCATGGCCAAGCAGAGCCCTGCGGAGCCGCAGGCGGCGGGGCCGAGCGGCGCGGCCCGCGGGAAGAGCAAGAAGAGGAGGAAGAAGAGGAAGGCCCTCGGGAAAGCGGCGGCCGCGCCCGGCATGGCGGCCGTGGCTCCCCCCCGCAACCCGCAGGAATTCTCCTCCAACTGGAAGGCGCTGCAGGAGGTGAGGGGCACCGGGGGATGCGGTGGGGACAGCCCCGGGGAGCTGGCACGGGGAAGCAGCGGGGCCGTGCTGGCAGGGCCGGAATGCAGCTCCGCGGCGGCAGGGACACCTCGCACTGTCCCAGCAAAGCCCGGCCGTGGGCACTGCCAGGGATCCAGGGACAGCCTCAGCTGCTCTGGGCACCTGTGCCAGGGTCTGCCCACCCTCACAGGGAAGAATTTCTTCCCAAAATCCATCCAGCACTGCTTGATGTCATTCCCTTTCTCCTGGCACTCCAGGCTCTTATGAATAATCCCTTACTCCCTTTCCTGAAGGCTCCTTTTACGTACTGGGAGGACACAATTAGGTCACTCTAGAGCCTTCTGTTTTCCAGGCTCTTTATCTTTATCTTTCTATCTTTTTCTTTCTTTTTTTTTTAATGTCATTTTAGCTGCTGAAACAAAAGGCAAATAACTCCAAGAAGGCCATTTCCACGGATCAAACAGACACCACAAAGAAGCAGCCACTCAAAGCAGCCAAAAGCCCAGAAGTCCCAGCAGTCAGTGGGAATGGGAATGTGGTAAAGGCCAAATCCACAAATAAAATGGACAGTGGTGCTGCTAAAGCCAGTCCTCCTCTGGCCAAGCCAGAATCCAAGGGGGTTACAGCAAATAAGAACTTAAATGGCACCAAAAGCAATGGGAAAGGCTGCAAAGAAAAGAAGAAAAATGGCATTGTTGTGAAGGAGAAGGATGAGCTGAAACATAAGAGGAGGAAAGCTGAGGAACACGTGGAGCAGCAGCCCAAGGAGTGAGTATTTCAGGCAGCAGCTCTGGATGTGAACATTTATTTTGGGAGGAGCACACAGAGGTACATTCCAAACAGCTGCACTTTTCCAGACTAAATTCTGAAAGAAATAAGGAACATTTTGCCCCAACTCCTCAGACACAGCAAGAAACCTGCAGAGGTGACACAGACTTAATTTTCACAGGGTTTGTCTCTTGGTTTAAAAACTAAACATACTTTTTGTACAACAGACATCAGATTGCTTTGAGACTGTTAAATGTAATTAAATCTGTTCTTCCCAGGGCTGACATCTGGTTTGATGACGTTGATCCCAAAGATATTGAAGCAGCACTAGGACCTGAAGCAGCAAAAATTGCCAGAAGGAACCTGGGACTTGAAACAGAGCAATGCCAGTCTGTGGAGCAGGTGCTGGTTAAGGAAAAGGCTTTTGATGGGTGAGTGACACTGCAGGGGGAGGGATGGCATCAGTGTGAGAAATGGGAAGACAGAAACTTCCAGAGGCACTGAAACATTTGGTCTGCAGCCTTAGAAGAAGTTTAGATTGATGTAAAAATAAAGTACACAGAAAAGCAGAAAAATAATTAAGCAGAAAAATAATAAACACATGTTTATAGTTGTAAGAGTATACCTCAATTAAGTAAAAAACTGTATTAACAAGATAGTGAAGGGTTTATAATGTAAGAGTGTAATTGTATACAGTAAGCTAAGAGTTTAGATGTTACAATAGAAACGTGTGTGTGTGTGTGTGTGTGCATGTTATAATAGCCCATTAGATAAAAATATACACATTGCAGTAGAAATAAGCAATAGAAAAGCAAAATAAACTTTGTAGCAGCTGTCCATTAGATTACAATGTTATAAATTGTCTTGTAACAAAGAACTTGTAACTACTCTTGAGCTATAACCAACTTCTTACTCTCACAAATCTCACAGCCCCTGAGACTGATGTTTATTTAACCTGACTGCAGTCCCATCCCTTCAATTAAACAGTACTAATAATATCAGAGCTCTCAGAATGGCTTCTGCTGAGTGACCTGCACAGTGAGCTGCCATCCCCCTGCCTCTGCTGCCGGGCTCTGCCCTGCTCACAGCAAGGTGTGAGCCTTGCCAGCTCCAGCTGGGCCCTCCCAGGTGTCCCCAAGTGTCCCTTTGCCTTTCAGGCTGACCCGGGCCGTGGCCATGGACTGTGAGATGGTGGGGGTGGGCCCCAAGGGCGAGGACAGCATCTTGGCTCGGGTGTCCATCGTCAACCAGTTTGGGAAGTGTGTCTATGACAAGTATGTCAAGCCCACGGAGAAGGTGACAGACTACAGGACAGCTGTCAGTGGCATCCGGCCTCAGAATATAAACTCAGGTACCAGGGGGTTCCCCCAAAGAGGGAGAAGTCAGTGGGTTGTCACAGAAGCCTCATTGGCTGAGCTTGGAATGGTTTCAGACCTAATTTGGGAAAACAAAATGCTGAGATTTGAGTTAAAGTTAATGCTAAGAAAAATTGTGGGAAGAAGTGCTTTTATACAGTGATCACTGACACATTTGAAGGAATTAACTGCTGGAATATGGTATAAAAAATAATTTCCTTTTCATGCTGTGCTCTTTATAGAATTCTGTGCACCCTTGAACGAATTAAATGGTGGAATATAGTATTAAAAAATAATTTTATTTTCATGCTGTGCTCTTTATGGAATTCTCTATGTTCTAGCAAGCAGAGATTCAGTGTACTATACAAAAACTACAGTCCCAAGGATACAGTTGTTTCCCAGAAAAGGTGCAGTGGTTGCTCATGGAAGGTGTTTCCTTGTGTGGCATTTTTAGGTGAAGACTTTAAAAAGGTTCAGAAGGAGGTGGCTGAGATCCTGCAGGGAAGGATTTTAGTTGGACACGCCTTACAGAATGACCTGAAGGTACATTGAAAATAAAGTTTCTGATAAATCATTCTGGATCAAGGGAACACACCTGAGCTCCTGGAAACTCCTGAATCCAGCCTGGATGAGCTGGGTCTTGTCCTTTCATGGCTTTAAAATGTGTGGATGGGAGGAAACAACAGGCAGCTGCACATTCAGCTCTGTAAAGTTTCATAAAATTACACATTTTAGACTGAAAATCTGATTTCTTCTAGGTCCTACTTCTTGATCACCCTCACAAGAAGATCAGGGACACACAGAGATACAAACCTTTTAAACAGAGAGTCAAGGTAAGAGACTGCTGGGAAGGTGCTCAATTAACAGACTCCAGAGCTGCTGACTCACTCCTGTGCTTGCTTTTACCTGACCCTGTTCCTTCTTTCCTACCTATGCACACACAAATCTCCTAATTCATTAATTATTCCTGGTATTTCACCAGCAGAGGCTAAGATGTGCTATTCTTTGAGGAACATAACATTTTTATGTAACACCCATCTCTGTTATTTGAAGTCCTGTGAGACAGCATGGTTTATGATCTGTTCTGTCCCTAGAGCTCCAGGCCATCCCTGAAGCTGCTCTGTGAGAAGCTGCTCAATGTTCAGGTGCAGACAGCAGAGCACTGCTCGGTAGGTACCTGCTCAGAACATCCAGCTCTGGGCTCTGCTTCAGTCCACAGGGCTGTGCCTTCATCCCAGGGAAACTCAGCAAGCTCTGCTTGGACAGCAGCAGCAGTGGGATTGACATCTGAGCTTGCTCATTTCATAAACACTCATTTCATGTGTTTCATGAAATGAGTTCACTCGTTTCATAAACAACTTCTGCACAAGTCAACTCTTAATTCTGAATTGTTACTTCAAAATTCCCAGGGGGAAAAGTAGTGATCAAGATCTGTTTACCCTAAAAGCAGCATTCTGCACTGTGGCAGGATGGATAAAGAGTGGGAGAGGCTACACCTGAACCTCAGCAGATCCTTTATTTCAGTGGGCAGGAGGATGGAAAAGAGGAATGAACTGGGGAAGCAAAACTGGGAGGGGAGCTCATAGATACTGTATCAATGACAAAGTTCTCTTAGGACTTTCCAAGTAACAATGGGAAATGCAGAGCCTTGTGGTGGGCCCTGGACTCTACATACACCATTTATCCCTTTCACTAGGCACAGAGTCTAAATGTAAAAAGAGGTAATGAAATGTTAGTTGGAAGGATGTCTTAAAGTGATGGAAGATTTAGCTGTTTATTATCTCACACCCTTGTCTGGTCTGTTCTCTTCCAGATCCAGGATGCACAAGCAGCTATGAGACTTTACACCCTGGAGAAAAAGAAATGGGAAGCTGCTGTTAAGAACAAAGCTAACAAGAAAAATTGTAAAACTTAAAAACCCAGGGCAGAATCTTTCACCTGCAGCATTTGCTGGTTTGATGTCACATTCCAAATTTAGAGATAAGTCAGAACTGACAGCAGCTACTTCATAAAATCAATCCAAAGACAATGCTACAATAACCTGGAAGTGCAGGAATGCTCTGGTATCCCTGTGGATGGGCCCTGTGCCTGATGCCTGCTGCTCTGCTCAAGCAACCTTGGTAACAAATGCCTGCAGCTGGGAAGAACTTCATCAATTAAATTTCTTCAATGGAAATAGACACTGAATAAGTTTAAAAAAAATTAAATTATGATAGATGAAGGAAGAAACTGTCATTGCTTTGTCAAAACTGAGGATTAAAATCTTTATTTCAAGTATGTTGAGGCCCATAAAGTGAGGTCTGCTGCAAGGTGAATTCTTAAATTATTGCTGTTTGTTACACAGTTGTGGTACCCAAACCATCAATAAATACCTGTTTGTATATTATTAAAGCCCAATATTCTTTTTTCTGGTGAGAAGAGTCCTCTAATGGAGGATCCAGGCTTTTGTATCCAGCAGTGGCCAAGTCTTGTTCTCAGACAAAGCGTTTTTCCTTCCTCAGTTTCAAAAGTGTTGCATCCACCAGGGTCCGAATCTCCTGGAGGGAAATGTGAGAATTGTCAGACAGATTACCTTGTTGCTCCACTTATTTTTGTATTCATTTATTAATAAAAACAATGTGTCTAACATAAATCTTTGAAGTGGCTGCTGTTACAACAGGAGAGGGAGCTTTCTCCCCTTCTGTGATTATTGTTTTCTGTGCTACCTTGTGGCTGCAGTGCTCATTGAAGGGGTGCAGGCAATGCCTGCAGGAGAACAGTTTGTGACTGTCTTTGAAAACAATTCTGTAAATACATTACTAAAATCAGCAAAATTTAAGACTAACCAGTTCTATTGGCTTGATGGACAAACCTAATTATTGGTTTCTTGCCAGCAAGCCATTGCAAAAGAAATATAAGTGTAACACATTAAATAGCTCTGATAACTTTGCTGGGTTTTCCTTTTGTTTTCCAGTGTGACTGATTGGTGAAATTTAATGTAAGTTAAATATTCCCACAGACTGTCAGAAAGTTTTTGTTGGATTTTTTTTCATTTGTTAATGATGCTACTTCCAAACCAAAAATAAATTGGATGTAATATACTTATGGCTTTATTCCTGTAAACTTTAGCCTAATTTAGCATGAAGACTACAGTAAATTAATGTAATGTTGCAAGAGACCAGAACATAGTTTTTTAAAATTTCAGCATTAACAACAACAAGAAAAACAACTTCTAATGACTTGTTCTCAGTAATTAGAAGTATCCTTACAAACTCACTCTTCACTCCACATGCAGCTAATTCCCTAAATTTCTGCACTATGATCAAATCCCTCACCAGAAATAACATACTAATATACTTTATTATCACAGAGACTTCTCCATACCGTGCTAAATGGAAACTGGAGTTTTATTTCAGACAGCAGCTTTTCCATTTTCTGGGACCTCATATTCAGCATAACCTCATCTGCAGTGCCAATGAACAAGAAAATTTATGGTTATAGCACAACTGCCAGTGGAGCAGGAGCTAAAGGAGCAGGCTAAAGGGGAAAGGACAGAGCTACACAAGGAGGAGGCAAGAGAAGATGAAGTTAAAATGTTTTACCATCAGAGTGGTATTTGTTTGGAACAAGCAAAGTGAATTCTCAGGAGGATGAATTGGAACTTTCTCAGACACAAAGTTTTTCCTGAGAGCAGCTAACATGTCCCTGAGAGCTGCTGTTGTGGTTTTACTGATTTTAGGGCTGGGAGAGAGGAGGAGACTTGACAAGTGGCAGCAGCAGCCATCTCACCATACTGAACCATCTCGTTCATCAGCAGGCACAGAGCTTCTGCCACCCCTGGCTCGTTGGAATGAAGGTGATATTCATCTTTGATCAGCTCTGTTCCACTGCCCTTTGAGTCCAGCAGAATTGCCAAAGCTGCAGTTTCTGCAAGGAAGACAAACACTGCTGGGCTCTTGGTAGCTGCAGACTGCAGGATCTGCTTCCCATCCCCTCACCAGCTGGCTCATGTCACGTTTTCAGGAAGTTGTGCCCGTTATTTTCAGTCTTCCTAACAACTATTCTGAAGCATATTTGGGAACAAGTAGAAGACCAGATATGCAGGTGACGCTGTCATGCAGGGCAGAAGTGATTTTAGTGATTATTTTCATTTTGATGGAGCTGATTGGTAGTTAATAAAAGCAGAACTGCTGAATGTTACCTGAGAGCCTCACAAGGCTGGCTAATGCCAGGCAGCCATTCTTCACCAGCACTGCTCTTTCTGGGTTCACCCTGAGTGCATCCAGCAAAAGTGCTGCTGTAGGCTTGTAGTCACTGTCAGTTAAGCAACCTTAAAAAAAAAATAAATAAACAAAACACAGAGAAAAGCCCAAAATTTCAGTATCCTTCAGGCCAAAAAAATAAAGAGTCCTGAATACTCAACTTATTCTACTGAGGTGGAATAGAAATAAGATTGCTGAGGGTGTTTTGCTCAGCTTTTCCCAGTGGAACAATGGCACAAGGGCTGGCAGTAGGTAAATGTGACAATATTGTTGCATGAGGAAGAAATAAGACAGAGTAGTACTGCAGTAGTAGTAACTACTACTAGTAGTACTGCAAGGATGTACTTAGTGCAGATGATAATGAAAGATTATTTCTTTTTTAACATAAAATACTTTTCCAAATCAACCAAGCAAATTAGCAGCCCACCAGTGGACTCTCCATTAGGAGTATCTGGTGATTTAATTGCTACAGCTCATCAAAAATGGCTTCATTAGGCAGCCACAGAGGGAGTGCAGGAAGAGCAGCCAAGAGAGGATGCAAGTTCCTAACTCTGCTGCCATCTGCAGAGCCTCTCCAGCCCAGCAGCCCGGGCTGCAGGATCACCACTGACACACAGACATCCCAGCCTTTTCCAGCCCAAGGGACAACAGGGAGACTGGGATCACACACCTTGGAGTGCCAGTGCCCACAGCGCTGAGCAGGCAGACTCTGCAACGACTCCGTTCTGGAGGTGTTCCTGAAGCACTGCCGAGGTGACAGGGAGAGCACTTGCCAGCACTGCTTGGTCTGCATTATTCTCTGAATTACCTTAGCAGAAAGGAAATGCACCAGGCTGAGTTATTTAATGAAGTAATGACATCATTGTATGTCAAATTATATCAGTAAAACCTTAATGGGTGCTGGCATTGGAATAATGCAACACTGCTTTAGTCTGGAGGGCAGCAGAGGGAAGGAATCTAAAATGTACAGAACCAAATACAGGACTAATAAATAATTCTGTTTATTGGAGAAAGCTGAACTTCTGCAGGAACTAGTGTTCTTTGTCATTTAAATTATGCATAGGGATCACAGCAAGAAGCCTCCAGAAATAACCACAGTTTTGACAGAATCCAGGCTGCAGGATGGAAATTCAGCTGTCCCATAAATCCAACGGGTAATTTGCTGCACAGAGGGAATAAAACACACCAGGTGAAACTGTGCACAATCTGTGCTTCCAGCCTGGCATGATGATCAGAACACTTCCACAAGAACACATCACAAACAAATCAGTAAATGTGAAATCAGGTCACATCTGGGCCTGAACGGCTCAAATTTGACACCTTATCACATAAACGGTTGCTAAAAAACTCTGCATTAATTTTTGGTTTTATCTAACTTTGGATCACAAAGTGATGGTAGCAGAGCTGTGGAAACAACCCTCCAGAATCACAAAATCAGGTTGGTTTAGGTTGGAAGGAATCTTAAAGATCATCTCATTCCATCTCCCCGGAACAAGAATGGGAGAAAATCCAATCCCAGCGACAGGAATGTCTGAACTCAATTAGGCTCAATACGTGCTGCCCTTCAGTCACATGAGTGCAGGCACAAAACTCCTGTGTTCTACTCACCACTCACAGCCAAGCTCCAGAGAACGGCACAGCAAGAGAAGCAGATCTTGTCATTATGAAGAAAACGTCTCAAAATTGACAGAAGGTCCGGAATGATTCCAACTTTCCTTAGGTTCTCCGCAGCTACTTCTGAAAACCACAGAAATTCTATAGAATCTGGTATTTTTGTCCCACTCACTGGCCTCGAAACAGGCAGCACTAAGTTGTTTAAACTGAGATAACAAAGCGGTAACATGAGCCCATCAGCTGGACAAAAGGAAGCAAGAGAACAGACCGAATTCTTTAACAAGATGCACTTGACACATCTGATCCTTTCAAATGCATGCCTCGCCATCCTTTTTCCTCACAGACTTGGAATTCACAGAGCGGGAAAGGAACTGAGAGGGTGTAAGTTACAATTTTTTACCTGTTTCCATTTTAACGATTCAAACTAAGCTTCAGAATTAGGAAACGCTGGATGAAAATAGTTTGGTCTTAGACACGATGTAATAATTTTTTGAAGATTTCCACCTTGCTGCTAAATGCTACTGTAACCATTTCTAAAAACAGTTGATGACTGTTGAACTGACACTGAAAACAAAAAGCTAAAAATATTATAAAAATTTAGCAAAAATAAAAAAAAATAAAGCTAAAAATATTATAAAAATTTAGCAATTACAAGTTCAGAAGAAAAGAAAACAAAGTAGAGAAGTTAGGGAGAATGGTTTCAATTCATCATGGCAGAGTCCAAAATAGAATTCAGGTTCTATGCCCTCATTTTCTCAAGCACTACTATTTGCAGAGCTTGTACTTGTTTCCAGACCAAGACGAAATACAGAATTGTATCTATTAGAGTGGACCTGTAAATCCCTGAAGCCTCAACATTGTACCTTAAACTTTCAGGGGTGTTATCAACATCTGGTCAATCTTACCAATATTACCACTATTAAATTAATAATTGCCCACAGACATCCACACTTCTTAGTGAAATCACAAGTTTTGCATTATATCTTGGATTTGTTTCAAAAAGTAAACATAAATTAAGATTCCCCAAAGAATGAGCAAGGTGACCCACCACTGGCTGAAACCATCATCAATAATGTGCAGAGCATTGAAAGGAACTCTTCATTTTCAGAATGTTGTCTCACTGTGTGTAACAGGCAGCTGGCCACACTCTCATCCAGGGCCATCACCACCCCCTGTTCCAGAGCTGTCACCACAAACATTGGAATAGAACAAAGATTTCAGTGGTTTTGAATGAAATCTGAACCCCCTGCCCTGCAATCAGCATAGCAAAACATTCAAATTAGCAGCATTTCTTCACATAAAATAAGCAAAAGTTACTTTAAACTTTCATTTTCTGAAACTCAGTTCTTAGTATTTTTAAGCTCATATCATCAGGTGGTTTTGGGGTAAATTGCCATGAAAGTGACAGCAGGCACCACACAAGAGACCCAAAACCACTTTTATGGTTTAAAATTCAAACACCAAAACAACAAGTGTCTTATTCATACCCCCTAACAATCCTCCACATAACATACTTGGTTGGACAAGATCA